TTTGCCCCTGTTCGGGTCATACACCGGCATTGAGACTTCTGTTATCCCTCTTTCAATCATGAAGTCTCGTAATCTTGTTAGTGCCAATATCACGTGTTCGGGATCGATTGTGTTCCTGTCATTGACCCTCGTTACTAGGAAGCACAGATATTTGCCCGGGACTTGTGCCACTGACGGTGGAAGCGCTGCCATCCCTCCCAGTCCTGGTCTCTGTCTGAACAGAAACTCTACATTCTGGTACTCTCTTTTGAAGTCAGCTTCCAATCTTGATTTGAAACTCATGTCCGCCGTGATGCAGATCGCGCTGGTCCTGTTTGACAGGATGAAGTCGCTATCTGTTATCATGATGTTCTCCGAGTATTCATTGGGTATTTCGAATTTCGTTTTGAAATTCCGACCTATAGTAGGCTCTGGCTCTTCTTCCTCCAGTTCCAATTCGCTCGTTTCTCTCACTTCCTTGAGCTTCTTTATCATCAAATTTTCGGTGTGGGTAAGTCCTACCCCCACTCCCCGGACAAAAATATTTATCGACGTCCCCGTCGATGTTGTCGGGTCTGAATTGTCCTGAGGAATGTCCAGTGGCCTGTCTGTTGCCGTCCATCCGAAAAGAGGGTCCTCTGTCTTCATGTAATTTGCTGCTGATACATCGACTTGCTGAATGCTTTGTCCTTCGCGGCTCTCGTCTTTGACATCACGCATCCACTCTAGAATCCTCAAGTTCGTGTTCTCCCTCCTCTCTATCTCACTCTGTTCGAGATCCGTTTCTACTTCTGGCGTCGAGTAATCATCCTGCGGATAATGACCACCATCGTCAATGACCTCTCATTCCTCTCCAGCTTCCAGTTCGCCTGCCTTCAGTAATTCCTCGCCCAATTTGTCTGGCTGTATCTTATCGATCAAGAAGTCATCCCCGTACCTGTTGTACCTCATGCCTGTGCGTTTACGATTGCCAGTCCTGGTTTCCGGTGGTGTTGTTCGATCCGGTTCCATCCATTTCGGCACCTCGTCTTGCTCCGGGTCGTTCCAGTCTTCTTCTACAAATGATCCTGCATCAGACTCCACTCCTATCTTTTCATTGTCGTCCAAACTCAAGTTCTCATTACCATCATTTTTCTCTCTAGTGCCTTTCTCATTCACTTCACACGCTGGCTCTACCACCAGGTACTCAAGACCCTCCATGTCCTTCGGTATGCACCAATCCTCTGGAGACGGGACGTGAGGCTTCAGATTTTCATAATGTGCCGCTCGCCCAGTACTCAAGCGATAGAACCGTCCTTGTTGATGAACCTCCGTTATCATGAATGGTCCCCTCCACTTCTTGAGTAGTTTCTTTGTTCCCTTGGGCGGTATGACATTTTGGAAGACCCACACGTATTGGCCCACTTCATATGGCTTTGCTCGTAATATTTATTCGTCGTATTTCCTGCGTTGCCTCATTTGCGCTTGCGCCGTGTTCCTCCTGCATAGCTCGTTCAATTCCTGTTGTCTTTTGATCGCTTCTTTCACGTATGCCTGAGGCGACGTCCTTTTCCCTTCGTATTCCGGGTAAAAGAATATCAGGGGCATTGCTCTCTCCCTGCCCGTCAACATCATGAAAGGACTGATGCCCGTAGTTGAGTGCTGTGTACTGTTGTAGGCTCCTACTACCTGTGGCAGGTATTTGTCCCAGTCCGTCATGTATCTTGAGCAGTACACCCTTAACATGTTGACCAGTGTCCTGTTTTGTCTCTCTACCAACCCATTGGTCTGTGGATGATAGGTTGTCGAGTGTGCTTGAGCAATGTGCGATCTCTTCATCAATTCTTTTGTCAAGTCCCCTACAAAAGCTTTGCCGTTGTCCGACTGGAAAGTCATTGGACAACCATACCGCGATATCCAATGCGTTATCAGATGATCACATGTCTCCTCGGCCGAGGCTGTTTGGCACGGGACCGCTTCCGCCAACTTTGTGAAGTGATCTATTATAACCAGTATCTGGTTATATCCCGACTCCGTCATGCTGATTTTTTGATGGTCTATCTGCACCACTTCATTGAACTCTGAGCTCTCAACGGACTTGAGGGGAAATTTCATCTTCCTTGGGTCTTTTACCTGGAGACATGCCAGGCAGGCATTCACCCATCTCTCGCAAGCTTTTCTCATTCCTGGCCAATCAAACCTGTGAAGTATCCTTTGTTGTACTTTGTCTATCCCCTGGTGGCCCATCTGGTCGTGCGATCTGAAAAGCACCTCCGTTTGATACAACTGTGGCAGTATGATGAGGTTGTGTTTGTGTAATATCTTCTCCTCATCTTTCCTCTTGCATGCTACCACCCCATCAGCTGTGTGGTAGAGTAAGTCTTTTTTCTCTTTGTAGAACTGGCTCAAGATCTTGTAGCTGTCTTCCTCGAGTTCCCCCTTCTCCTTGACCCCCGACTGGATCCATTTGGAGAGGTTACTTGTCATTTTGTCATTCTTTTGGGCTCTTATTAGGTCTGACAGCCTATATCTTGCCCTGACATGCTCCTTTAGCGCCATGATCTGTCCATTCATCTCACCAGGTTTGTGGATGTCATCACTCAGCTTCACGCATATCATCCTTTTCACGATTTTCATATCATCTTCTGGCACCAGATTTGTTCTGACGTTTGAGTTGCATGATAGTTCTCTGTATGGCTTCCTTGAAACCGCAATTCTCTCAAGTTCCTCGCCACCTCGTATCTCCTGTATCTCCAGATTGTACGTTCCTGATGATGGATCCGTCTGTAACTCCCTGTCGTGGTGCCTTGTCTTCTCTTCCGCCAGTATCATGCACAGACTGTCCTGGTTTTCGCTGCTCTCATCCGAGTCTTCATCCCATCCTTCACGCTCCCCGGACAATTTTCCTTCTCCGGTTCCTTCTTCCGTGAACCTGGAACACTCCCCGGACTCTTGACCTAGTCCCAGGTGTTCAGTATCCTCCTTGAACGTCACTTTCTTTTTCCTAACCCTGGTCTGCTCCAGAATGTCTTCGGGGATTTTGTCAACTAGTGACCGCACGACATCTTTGCTGTCAGTGACGCTTCCTCTTGATGAGTCCGTATCGTTCACTGTCTCTTTTCTCCGAAGTATAGTGAATTCCGGTTTCTCTGTACCCTTCTCCTGGATCACTGGCTTATCATCTGATAGTTTCTCGAGCAACCTCATTAAGTCATCATCTATCTGTGCAGTTCCTGCTTCCACCTGGTTAAGATCATAGCCTTTTGCCTTGAGCGTCTCCTTCACGATCTTCGACTTGAGTATAATCTCAATCGGAATCCTCTTGCTCTTCCTCAAGATGGTCTTCTTTGGAGGCTCTTTAGGCAATTCAGGATGATCTTCTATCGGTTTGCCTGACTTGTCCAGCCACCTCGTGAGTGGAAGACTGTCGTACGTTTCCTTGTCCATGAATGAGAAGCCATCTTTGATTTCAGGTCTGTCTGCTTCTCTTTGCTCTTGTCTCTCATAGAACTCCGTCTTCTTACTCAAGCTGTCGGCATTCTGATGTTTATCTCGCGTTCTATGCTCAATTATCATGTTGTATCCGTCCAAGCAAACTATCCACCTCCCAATGTAACTTTGGTCCATTGAGTACGTTTTCAGCCAACTTAGTGCTCGATTGTCGACTCGCAGCTTGAAGGGCTCACTGCCTAGGTATACCCTGTATTTCTCGACAAAGGTGACCACTGCAAACATCTCTGCTTTCGGTGCCCCGTACTTCATCTCTGTGTCGCTTAGGACTTTGCTCCCGTACGCTATTGGTCTCAAGACTGTCTTCCCATTCCATTCTTGTTCTTGGTGAAGAATCCCAGAAATCGCGACTACCGACGCATCCGTGTCCAGCACGTACATCCCTTTCTCAGTCGGCATACCCAGTACTGGTGCCTCACACAGCTCTTTCTTTATCCTCTGGAATGACTCTTCTGCTGCGTTGTTCCACGTGAACTTCTTGCCCTTGTGTCTCATTAATTGTTGCATCGGGTATACCTTGTCTGCATAGCCTTTGATGAACTCTCTATAATAGTTAGCGAAACCCAGGAAGCTCATCAACTGGTGCTCTGTCTTCGGTGATTTCCAGGTCAGGACGGCTTCCACGGCGTCCGTATCAGGTCTGATGCCGTGCTTGTCTACCATCCTGCCCAAGTATTTTATTGAGTCCTTGAGTATCTCGCACTTTGATGGTTTACACTTTAGCCCCGACCTCTTCATGCATGCAAACACTTCGTCTAGTCTCTCAATGTGGTCTTCCAGTGTTGGCGTCGCTATTACCACGTCATCCACGTAGCACATTACCAGGTTGCCATACTTCTTCGTTACGCCTATCAGCGCGTGTGCCATCAACCGCTGAAACGTGGCTGTGGCATTGCAAAGTCCAAACGGCATCCGTTTCCATTGAAACAGACCCAACTCGCAGGCAAACCCTGTCTTGTCCCTGTCCTGCTTCCTTAGTGGTACTTACCAAAAGGCCGAGCCTAAATCAAGAGTCGTAAAAAATTTTGCATCACCTAACTTCGAGAGGCTCTCATCAATCCTAGGTATGGGATAGGCATCCTTCACCGTGACGGAGTTCAGGTATCGAAAGTCACAACAAAACCTCAACTGGTCGCCTTTCTTTTTGGCCATCACTACTCCACACGCCCACGGTGACTTGGATGGTTCTATCATGTCATACTCTAGTAACGTCTCGATCTCTTTTCTACACGCGTCCGATTTGTGTGGGGTCATGCGCCTCGCCCCCTCCCTGTGTGGTACCGCGTTTTCCTCAAGCTCTATTTCATGCTCAACGAAATTACAACACCCGATATCCGCCTTATGCCTCGAAAAAACTTCCTCGTTCCGCTCTAGTACGTCCTTGATGGCTTCGAGCTGTTCATCTTTCAGTTTGCCCCTCAAGTGTTCAATCTCCGGCAGGACCGGTTTATCAGTTTGCATTTCATCTAGTGTAGGTCGCTCCGGAAAGTTTGAACAGCTCGAAAGACCATCATCCGTTTCTGACTTAAGTGATTTAATAAGACCTGAAGAATCTTTTATTTTCTGCAATCGTCTCAAGATACAAATTTTGTCCCTGTGATTGGGACAATCAACAACTTCATTTTGTTTTGAGTTCTCAATTGTTTCATATCGAGTTTTAACCGGTAAAGCATATCCCAGTTTCCTCCCTCTCTGTATCGTGATCGGTATATCAAGGGTATTCAACAAGACACTGACGCAGAGGCCGCTCTTCGCTATCGAAAATGATCTTCCTAAAACAGCAGCACTTTGACTATTAGGATTCGGAACTATGCACACTTGCTTGTTGTCACTTAGTTCATTGTAATTTTTCATCCTCAAACTTACGATTGCCGCTTCATTAGCTTTTAGCCTCACCCTCCTACTCAAGAATACCGGTGCTTTGTTTTCATTTGCCATTATTAAATTTACCGGTTTGACTGCGTACCTCCTATCCGGGTTCCGTATCCTGAACATTGCGTTATTTAGATCAATCGTTACGTCGAAATTCCTGATGAAGTCTCTGCCCAAAATGAATTGGTCAGATTCATCTAGGTTTTCTACCACGATGAAGCTCATCCACAGGTTACGTTCCCCCAAATTGAGGGCTATTATCGGCGTCCTGCCCAGCACCCGTAGGGCCCCTTTGTTTGCAGCTGACAGCCGTATTCTCGAGTCTATCAAGTCACCTTTGTCAAAGCCCATCTTCTCCCAAGTTTCGATTGGTATAACGCTCAAGACTGCTCCCGGGTCAAGCAACCCACGCAACTGAGTCTTTTTGCCACTTATATCTAGCACGTGCCCTGTCACATCTGCCTCTGTTCCGATGTGCATTGCATCTTCTTCAAGCATGGCGCAGTGTCCAATTGATCTCACTTTCAACTCTTCTTTCCCTACGTAGATTTGCCCAATTAGGTCTTCGTCACATGTTATCATCGTCTTGGTATAGATGTTAATCCCATCTATATTTAGCATCACCTCGTGTGGACCATAAGCTTCAGTATACCTGTTATCAACACGTACCGACTTGCTGCCCCCTCTCGTGAGTAGTGCTCTCAGCGCTCTAGAAGTCGTTTGTGGGCTTATACGACTCAAGCAATCTGCGTACACATCAATATGCATTACTGTCTGGTCACTCGGTTCATTCAAGTTTCTGGTTACCTCGTGGCCGCCCACTGTGATTATCGACATTATTCTAGCCCCGATTCTCGATATGCCGAATGGATTTCCCGTAATCATTTTTACATTGTTACAATTCCCGGTCTTTGTTGAGCCCGGTACAGCTTCTGGTGCTTGGTTCGATCCAGTTAATGCTTCGTTAAAATTCTGTCTTTCTATCTCCAGCTTTAGTCGTTGCTCTACTTCTTTCGCAGCCAGGTCCTGTTTCACTTTGGCAATTGCTTCCGTCGCCGCTTTCTCATAATTTATCTCTAGAGAGTTCCCTGCCGCGGATTCTATGGCATCATTAACATGTGATACAGCTTTCACTGTCTTCGTCGGCAATTCCGTGCTTGGTGCTCCTAAGTTCCTCGATTCAAATTCGTTTTGCCTGTTCCGCTGATTCTGCACCGCCGCTAATGCCAGCTTATGTTTAGGGTGACTCTGGTCCTTGACCGCTTCCCAGAACAAGGGACAATCCATTCGGAAGTGCCCCTCCTGGTTACAGAAGAAGCATCTTGCGCTTATCTTGATGATTAAGCCGCTATAGTACTCGTGTTCCTCCATTTGGCTCATGTCCTCCTCATCTGGTGCATATCCTAGACTCTTCATGCCTTGTTTGTATGTTGTGCAGTCAGCCACGTGGTGATCCGCCGACCCGCAGTTCGCGCATGATCTGCGCTTGTCCATGTCATCTCTAGGTTTGTACCATGACGACCTCTGCGGTTGACTTCCCCCTTGCGTGTTCCTGTTTTCTGAATACGAGTATTTCTTGGGTTTCATCAGCATGTATTCCCTTGATTTCTGTCTCATTTCTTCTGGGGTTGGTGCGCTGTCTTTCGACAATGTTTAGTATGTTGCTAACATTGTCCTTAAGTCGTCACTTTTTACCCCATCAATGAACTTCGAGGCAATGCTAAAGTTTCTTCTGTTTGTCGACTCTTCTGGGTCACTCCTTCTTCTCAAGCTCTCGAGATCATCTAGGAACCGATCTATTGACTCGTCGTCCCTCTGCCTTCTCTTTTCAAATCGCATCATCGCTTGGTGACCTTTCATGCCTGACCCGAATCGATTCAGCAATATCTCGAAGATCTTGTCCGCGGTATCGCGTTCTTCTTCTTTCTTCGCAACCACGCATTTTAATGCTGTGCCTTCTAAATTGCTGAGTATGGCTGTGCATGCTTGTCTTTCATCGTTCAAGTTGTCTTACTCTAGATGTAATCTCATCACTTCCACCCACTTGTCAATGCATCCATCAGAGTCGTCTTTGAATTCTTTTGGCTTCTTGAATGTTTTTCTTGATTTCCCATCTCTCCTATCGCTCGAGTTAGTGTTCCTCGTGGCGAAGGCCTCTAGAGTCCTGTTCATCATCTCCCAAGTGTTTGCCCATGTCATAGCATCCGGACCTGCGTTGCTGTTAGCTGTTGAGTCCCCCGGACCAGTCGTTGTACTTGACATTCCATTCTTCATGATTGTTTTAGCAGCTGTTGGTGCTATGCTCACCGTATTCCGGGTTAGGGGCAACGGTGTCGATTGCCGTTTGTTCCTTTGTGGTTCCACAAAGTCAACTCTGGTGCCTTGCGCGCGATCCGCTGCCGGTCTTTCTTGTGAGGTAGAATTACTCAAGATTGCATCCAATTTCGCCTGTATTGCACACGAACTCTCGGCCTGATTTTTGCTCATTGTGTCCATTCTCTTTTCCAGGCTACCTAATTGGCTGTTGACATCATCATATCGGTTTTTTAACTGTTGCAAATCTTTTTTGATGTTCTTATCTCGTTCTTCATTGGTGGTTTCTACATTATCTGACATCTCCTTGAGTCTCTCTTCTGTTGCCTTGGCCAGGTTAAAATAACTATCCAGATACTCGTTTTTGTTGTATCTTAATTCTTTTCTTATCACTTCTCTGTCCTCTTCGCTGTGCTTCAGCTTTTTGTCGATCTGATTCAGTTTCGCCATCAAGTCACCTAGCTCAAGAGTAGCCTCTTCATGGTCAGCCGTCGGTTTTTCTTCGGCCGTCGCTTCTGCTCTAGTTTGTTCCTCTCTCGGATTGGCTTCTGTCGTCTTCGTGCTCACTGTTCCAAATGTTCGTGCTCTTTCAGCTTTTGGTTCTTCAGTCACGTTCTCTTTCGTTTTTATTCCGACCATCATCGCCAACCTTTCTGTAAAAGATGTCTTTTTTACTTGAGAGTCTTCTTTCACCGTTTCTTCGGTGTTGCCTATTGCATCTTCCACGTTGTCTATTGGTGAGAATTCTACGGGTTTCGAGTTTGGTTCTTCTGCATTGGGCATTGGAGTTGACTCCGTCGCTATTTTCCTTGTTTCATCAACACTTTGATCAGGTGTCTCTAGATCAATCTCGATGGTGGGTTCTACTCGTTCCCCTTCCATGCCCTCTCTTGCTCTGTTCTCCGCTGTACTCCTTGTGCTGACCATGTTAACTGAAAAGTTCTTCTTTGTTATCTTTGGGCCCATTGATGTTGTTTTGCGTAGCGACGAATTATACTTTGCTTCAGTAGGTCTTTTTTCAGCTACCGGTACCCTGCTCTGCCTCATTATTTCTATTTACAATTGCTTTTATTTACAATTTTACTATATACACAACCCTATTCTAAGAATAAAATCTTTCGGGAAGGAAGAAAAAGAAGAAAAAAAAAATATACAACGTGGTGAAAACCTTGTTTCAGTTCTCTTTATTAACTTTTCGAGAAACTTTCCTTATTTGTGGTCTCAACCGTACCTGGTTCCAATTAGTCTTGTTCTATCTTAATTCTGTCTTAAAACACTTCTTGTAATTTTACTTCAATTTTTACACTGTCCCAAGACTTCCAATTGCCGTCCCTACTCTTCTTTGTACCGTCCCAGGCTTCTTTCTCCTGTCCCAAGACTGTTCGGTACCGTCCCAGTACTTTCCGGCAGTGTCCCAAGACTCTTGTCCAAGACTACTGTCCCAAGACTAGTGTCCCAAGACTACTGTCCCAAGACTAGTGTCCCAAGACTACTGTCCCAAGACTACTGTCCCAAGACTAGTGTCCCAAGACTACTGTCCCAAGACTACTGTCCCAAGACTACTGTCTCAAGACTAGTGTCCCAAGACTAGTGTCCCAAGACTACTGTCCCAAGACTACTGTCCCAAGACCCTGTCCCAAGACCCTGTCCCAAGACCCTGTCCCAAGACCCTTGTCCCAAGACCTTGTCCCAAGACCCTGTCCCAAGACCCTGTCCCAAGACCCTTGTCCCAAGACCCTTGTCCCAAGACCCCGTCCCAAGACCTTGTCCCAAGACCTTGTCCCAAGACCTTGTCCCAAGACCTTGTCCCAAGACCTTGTCCCAAGACCCCGTCCCAAGACCCTGTCCCAAGACCCTGTCCCAAGACCCTGTCCCAAGACCACTGTCCCAAGACTGTACTGTCCCAAGACTGTTGACAAGTGTCTGGGTGGTGGGACTTCTTTCCACTTCGTTATGGGGACTTCTTGATTCACTGTACCTTGTACCACCACTCAAGCTCTAGTAAAATTTTCCCAAAATCCTCTCTTAAAAGCCAAATGCTGACCCCCCTTTTTCTTATTTCTCTTTTTGGCTACCTCTATTTCAATGTTCCAAGTAACTTGAGACCAAAACCTGTGCCAAGGTATCTTGTGATCACCTGTTCGTACAAAATCTTAACAAAAATCCTCACCAAAATGCAACAAAAATCTAATTAAGAAAAAGTAATAAAAACAGAAAGATGAGCCCACCTAAAATTCAAAGGTGACAAATGTCTACCTTCTATCTAAAAAAAATGTCTGGTACCTAATTGTCACGCGTTTCCTTCCCCCCTGCTAGCGATCTTATGGGGTATTACAAAAACTGTCTATGTCCCTTCC